TCAAGAACCATAACATTCCATTTTTATGCAATGTGATGGCCTGTTTATTACTGGGCTTGTGCCAAAGAAAATCACTGTCATTGATTGAGTTTTCAGTTGGCAGGTAGCTTATCTCTCACCTTCTACCAGCGGCAGAAATGCTAAATGAGTCATTCATTGAACTCTGAAACTACGTCCAAATTGCTAAATTCTAAGAAAAACATTAGACAGGCTGTGCATTATGGGAAACAAAGTCCACAATCATATCCATTTTCAATGTAGGTCACAATTAGAGGCAGCATTTCCAACAATGTCCAGTCATGATAAGACTTGTTGAGTGTGCCCATATATTAATATGTGCCATAACCCTAGGTATCTTAAAGGAACAATCCTAGCAACATAACCACTACAGTGCACTGTAGTGGTTATGGTGCCCAGAGTGAGCTTTCTGACATCTTTCCTGGGGACCACTGAGCACTGGTCACCCCTCCAATGAGAGCCACAAATGCCTGCACGGCCTGTTTGGACCCTGGGAGAAAATCCACTCTGGACTCCAAGGAGAAGATCCCTTCTGGACCCCAGGGAGAAGATCCCCACTGGACCCCAGGAAGAGGACCCACACCAGCTCTCCTAAAGGTAGGGATGCTGGATAGGACCCCCCAAAAAATGTGCAATAATGTGTAAAGTTGTTAGTGTGTGTTTCTATGTGGGTATGTGTCTGTAAGTAAGTGTATCAAATCAGTGAGATTGTGTCTTTGAGAATGTGTGTGTGTCAGTGTGTCTGTCAGTGAGCGTGTTTTAAATCAGTAAGATTGTGTGTCTGTCATTGATAGTGTGTGTCTGTGTGTTTAAGAACCTTTAATGTCACCATTTATTGGGCAAAGAGCTCTTTTTGAAAAATCTATGGGTGACATTTCTCCATATAATGTTTGGGGAATAAACATGCTTTGCCCAAATATTATTATAAACATTATCATGTAGTAATACTGTAATGTGGTGTTATAAACCATGAGAGAGAGGCTGCGCTCTACCAAAATTATCAAGAAATGATTTCAGGTTTACATTCGCAATTTCGCACAAAGATTCAGGAAAGTAAATTTCTGCACAAGAAAATTTAGAGGGAACATTGGTCACAACTGTCCATAATGCTGAGCAAAGAAGAGAAAAAAGGAATCCTTAACTTTAGTAAATGATGGGATCCTTCAGCTATATACATGCACCCTGGCTCGGACAGTTAGTCTCTATGGTTTGCCCTGTTTCTGTGCTGGGAGTGAAGCCAGGAAGACACTGTCTGACCCAAGGTGTATGTATATGGCTAACCCAAGGTGTATGTTTATGGCGGATCCATGGTGTATGTATATGGCGGACCCAAGGTGTATGTATATGGCTGACCCATGGTGTATGTATATGGCGGATCCATGGTGTATGTATATGGCGGACCCAAGGTGTATGTATATGGCGAACCCATGGTGTATGTATATGGCGGATCCATGGTGTATGTATATGGCGGATCCATGGTGTATGTATATGGCGGATCCATGGTGTATGTATATGGCTGACCCAAGGTGTATGTATATGGCGGATCCATGGTGTATGTATTTGGCTGACCCAAGGTGTATGTATATGGCGGACCCATGGTGTATGTATATGGCGGATCCATGGTGTATGTATATGGCGGATCCATGGTGTATGTATATGGCTGACCCAAGGTGTATGTATACGGCGGATCCATGGTGTATGTATATGGCGGATCCATGGTGTATGTATATGGCTGACCCAAGGTGTATGTATATGGCGGATGCATGGTGTATGTATATGGCGGATCCATGGTGTATGTATATGGCGGATCCATGGTGTATGTATATGGCTGACCCAAGGTGTATGTATACGGCGGATGCATGGTGTATGTATATGGCGGATCCATGGTGTATGTATATGGCGGATCCATGGTGTATGTATATGGCGGATCCATGGTGTATGTATATGGCTGACCCATGGTGTATGTATATGGCGGATCCATGGTGTATGTATATGGCTGACCCAAGATATATGTATATGGCTGACCCAAGGTGTATGTAAATGATCTTATCATTTGCTAACGGCAGAAATTAGGTTTTTCTCTCCTTTTTTTAAACATATATTTCATTTAAAACAGAATCTATTTCCTTGCAATATTTGATGAACGGATCATCATATTACAAACATAGCTTTGAGGTGACAGTTGTCCTTTTACATTATGGTAAATGTGATCTGCAAACATCTGTGTTTTAGCATTTTTTTGTAATAATCAGCCAAGGGCACATTCAATCAACCCACCTCCTCACCACATCCCATTTTTTTATATAAAATGTCATATTTTATTTAAAATATTTCAATGAATTCTGTGTAGACAAATACATTGCAATAATATTATAATCTCCCAATTGCCGAGGACTGCCCCCTCCCTAATCTGTCCACACCCGCACAAAATGTCAAAAATGGATATATCTGTGAAGAGAGGCGAGTCTGAACCACCAGCCTCCCCCCTCTCAGGTGACAATAAGCCGGTGTCAGCCAGGTAATTATCGAAGATGGATAATGTGATGACTTCTTTTGTGTCTGTGAAGTTAAAGTTACCATAGTGAGCCTTTGATCAGGTAAACGCAATGTCACAGCGTGCAAACAATAGCCGATATGGCCTGTCAGAGATGGGCGAGAGGAGACAGGCTGTGGGTTTTAATGTCAATATTTAACGGACAGTTTGGAGAAATTCTTGATTTTTATAACCAGATTCCATACTCTGATTAACTGTATAGATACATATATTCAAATAAACCAAGAATACTACTGACAAAAAGTCTTGTCATATACGCGGATAAATAAAGAGTAACTCGTATCTATAAAGCGATACTGCTCAAACAATACATAAACTCAGTGAATGCCAGTAATGAGATGGCCCCATGGCCGCGATCGGAGCTTTTGGTAATGCATTGAGGGTATAATGAGGTCCTGGCTTCATATTGTACAAGACTTAGTGCAGAAGTTAATGATAAATCAGCCACGTCTACGGCTCTCTGTGTCGGGTACGGTTCACACGAGACGCAAACCTCCCAGGCAAAACCCGTGAAAAGTTCTTCAAACTAGCAGATCCTCCTCCTGCATGCAGCCCATTTCTAGAGGACAGTAACCCCACAATAACGTCAAGGAGGCCGGCAAGAGTTACAGACTTCTGGTCACAATCATTATGGAGAAATGAGCAGAAAAAAAAAAGAGAAAAAATTACCAAGCAAAAAAAGAAATAATCTATCTATTTATCTATCTATCTATCCACATCCGCAAAAATCAATATCAAGGCAATTGGGAATATTTATTAACTCAGACATCGGTTATTAAAGGGTTACTCCAACCAGCGTGACCACTTCTGTTTTTTGAAGTGGTCATGGTTGTTGGAATCTGGACATGCGCTGTTTCAGTTTTAGTTGCACCTCCAGCACACGTGACATAAATTCACATAAACGTTGAAATCCACCACTGGTTCTGTCTATATTGTTTATTGCATTGAAGATATATAAAGAATTCACATTCCTGAACTTAGTCTGATATACGCCAGCTTTTAATTAACATTTAGAATTTGACTTCTCAGTTCACCACAATTTACAGTTCAGTGAATTTACCCCCTTTGTGATATAATGCTTTTCCTGCACAGTATCCCAGCTCCATTAGCGTCATGTTCTATAGCGCACAGTAGGAACCGATAGAAACTAAGACTTTAAGGGGTTAAACTCTGCCGAGATCCGAGCTACATCTCTTTTAAGATGACAGAACAAAAGATGATTCCTCTGAAGACATCTCCAGATGTGAGACCCATTAATCACATGGTAATGTAGTGAAACGTAAGACAATGAACCTGACTAGTTGGGAATTTTTCACGGGACATTGGAAACAGACCATCGACAAGTTCAAAGCTGGGGGAATAATGCGTGGACCGTGGTAACTCAGCACGCAGTATATATATGTACTAAAAGATGTTTTGTCATGTTCCTGACAATAACGGCTGACGTGCAGTTTGTATTTACAGGGGAAGAGCCACGATTAATGTCTTCCAAGCTTCGGGTGCACCTGGCTCGTTTTCTGGGTTTCCTGAAAATACATTTTAACCATTTAAATGCGTCCCTTTCCCCCGGCATTGGAGGGGTAAACTTCAACAACAAATATTTGTGGCATTAACATAATTTCTCTATTTTAACTCATTCTCAAACCACCAGCTCCTAAATTCCTATTCTTTTCTCTGATCACCTTTCAGCCATTTAACGTGACAGGTCAGTCTGTTCTAATTTATTAATTCTGCATTTAACATTTATTTCTTACCTCACGGGGTTTAGTCACAGAAATGGAGGGAAAGTTTGCGCAGACTTAGAGCATTGTTCACATTTCCTTTTGTTCAATTGTTGTGATTTCCTCACATTTCCCATTGAATTAAACGTTAAGCCCACACAATGCTCGTTTAATACGAAATTAACAAAGGAATAAGCCCTGCGCTACAACTCCCACTACACTAAAAATGCTTCATTTAAAAACCACATTTTTTGCTCTAAACAAACATTTAACATGTTTAAGAAATTGCATTTTCCTTCAGTATTTTTACTAAACTGGGATTTTTTTTCCCTATGTTTCTATTTTGTTTTAAATTTGCAATCTGAGAATGTTAAATAATTCCTGGTTTAGTGAAGTGTCTCCCGCTCTGGGTCAAAGGGCGAAGATTCCGCCTGAATTTGACTGATTTAGTTCTTTTTAAAGAAATCATAAAAAGTAGTTATTTTGAGCAATGTCGCCATCTTGTGGCTAACCACTGAATTGCTGGGACAATATTTACACAGTCAGGGCAGTAATTAGTGGCCTCCTGAGTCTGCTAATTGATATGTGAACTTAATGACTAATCACACAAACCGTTTACACTCACAGGTATTGACTTTCTTTCTCTCAGACTCAGGAAATGTGGTTCTGATTTGCAATGTTTTGGGCATTTACCTACTGCCACTGACCTCACTTTAATACTGCCTTTCATTAACCATTGCAGTGCCAGAGAGCAGAGTGACAGACTGCAGCAGTGTGTCCCAATCAGCAGTGTGTCCAAATCAGTGCCAGAGAGCAGAGTGACAGACTGCAGCAGTGTGTCCCAATCAGTGCCAGAGAGCAGAGGGACAGACCGCAGCAGTGTGTCCCATTCAGTGCCAGAGAGCAGAGGGACAGACCGCAGCAGTGTGTCCCATTCAGTGCCAGAGAGCAGAGGGACAGACCGCAGCAGTGTGTCCCATTCAGTGCCAGAGAGCAGAGGGACAGACCGCAGCAGTGTGTCCCAATCAGTGCCATAGAGCAGAGTGACAGGCTGCAGAAGTGTGTCCCAATCAGTGCCAGAGAGCAAAGTGACAGACTGCAGCAGTGTGTCCCATTCAGTACCAGAGAGCAGAGTGACAGACCGCAGCAGTGTGTCCCATTCAGTGCCAGAGAGCAGAGTAACAGACTGCAGCAGTGTGTCCCATTCAGTACCAGAGAGCAGAGTGACAGACTGCAGCAATGTGTCCCAATCAGTGATTGGCACTGAAAAGGTTAAAATTCATTAAAGGGAAATTATGTAATAAAATGTTCTGTGTCTTCTGTATTGGGCTATGGAATCATGATTTAAACAGCCATCCTCCCTCCCCAACATTTTAAATGGACTAGAGCACTGGTTCCCAACCCAGTCCTCAAGTACCCCCTACCAGTCCAGGATTTAAAGGGACACTATAGTCACCAGTGCAACTACTTGTATTTCTGACCCTATAGTGTTAACATGACCATCTAGGCCCCTCATTCCTCCATAAATATAGTAAAAATCTTACTGTATTCAAGCCAGAAGCTGTAACTCTGCATGCTATTAGACTCAGGAAAAACAAGCAGTCTGCTGACATGTGATAGCCTGATCCAATCACAGTGCTTCCCCATAGGATTGGCTGAGACTGACAAGGGCAGAGCCAGCATGATTCAAACACAGCCCTGGCCAATCCGCATCTCCTCATAGAGATACATTGAATCAATGAATCTCTTTGAGGAAAGTTTAGTGTCTGCATGCAGAGGGAGGAGATACTGAATCACAGGATGCTGTGCACAGTGCTGCCCTGTGCTCTGCTGACAGCAGATCTGAGTGGATGGAGGCATATTACACCTCCATCAACTCCGAAGTCCCTCTGGTTCACTCTGAGTGACTGCAACTGGAGGCGTTCCTAGCTTTCAATGTAAACACTGTATTTTCAAAGAAAATACAGTGTTTACATGAGAAAGGCTGCAGAGAACTATAGTTCTCACCTGAACAACCTCATTAAGTTGAAGTTGTTCAGGTGACTATCGTATCCCTTTAAGGATTAGTCAGTTGTGTCTAAGGTGTTTTTTTGGGGGGGAAAACAAAAACACTTTAAACACAACAGGGTAATCCCTAAATCCGGGACTAGTAGGGGGTACCTGAGGACTGGGTTGGGAACCCCTGGACTAGAGGGACCCTTTCATTTTAGGGGTGTGAGGAGGTGTGCCTGTTCCAAGAAATTCTAGATGATTTACTAATAACAATTTATCCAACTAAAATGCAATTTAGATCAAGAACAATGTATCTTATTTACACCAACTGATTTCTAAACATGTTTATTCTAGATTAAAGACACATTACTGGGATTACAGGTAGTGCAGAATTATTAGGCATGTTGTATTTTTGAGGATTAATTTTATTATTGAACAACAACCATGTTCTCAATGAACCCAAAAAACTCATTAATATCAAAGCTGAATATTTTTGGAAGTAGTTTTTAGTTTGTTTTTAGTTATAGCTATGTTAGGGGGATATCTGTGTGTGCAGGTGACTATTACTGTGCATAATTATTAGGCAACTTAACAAAAAACAAATATATACCCATTTCAATTATTTATTATTACCAGTGAAACCAATATAACATCTCAACATTCACAAATATACATTTCTGACATTCAAAAACAAAACAAAAACAAATCAGTGACCAATATAGCCACCTTTCTTTGCAAGGACACTCAAAAGCCTGCCATCCATGGATTCTGTCAGTGTTTTGATCTGTTCACCATCAACATTGCATGCAGCAGCAACCACAGCCTCCCAGACACTGTTCAGAGAGGTGTACTGTTTTCCCTCCTTGTAAATCTCACATTTGATGATGGACCACAGGTTCTCAATGGGGTTCAGATCAGGTGAACAAGGAGGCCATGTCATTAGATTTTCTTCTTTTATACCCTTTCTTGCCAGCCACGCTGTGGAGTACTTGGACGCGTGTGATGGAGCATTGTCCTGCATGAAAATCATGTTTTTCTTGAAGGATGCAGACTTCTTCCTGTACCACTGCTTGAAGAAGGTGTCTTCCAGGAACTGGCAGTAGGACTGGGAGTTGAGCTTGACTCCATCCTCAACCTGAAAAGGCCCCACAAGCTCATCTTTGATGATACCAGCCCAAACCAGTACTCCACCTCCACCTTGCTGGCGTCTGAGTCGGACTGGAGCTCTCTGCCCTTTACCAATCCAGCCACGGGCCCATCCATCTGGCCCATCAAGACTCACTCTCATTTCATCAGTCCATAAAACCTTAGAAAAATCAGTCTTGAGATATTTCTTGGCCCAGTCTTGACGTTTCAGCTTGTGTGTCTTGTTCAGTGGTGGTCGTCTTTCAGCCTTTCTTACCTTGGCCATGTCTCTGAGTATTGCACACCTTGTGCTTTTGGGCACTCCAGTGATGTTGCAGCTCTGAAATATGGCCAAACTGGTGGCAAGTGGCATCGTGGCAGCTGCACGCTTGACTTTTCTCAGTTCATGGGCAGTTATTTTGCGCCTTGGTTTTTCCACACGCTTCTTGCGACCCTGTTGACTATTTTGAATGAAACGCTTGATTGTTCGATGATCACGCTTCAGAAGCTTTGCAATTTTAAGAGTGCTGCATCCCTCTGCAAGATATCTCACTATTTTTGACTTTTCTGAGCCTGTCAAGTCCTTCTTTTGACCCATTTTGCCAAAGGAAAGGAAGTTGCCTAATAATTATGCACACCTGATATAGGGTGTTGATGTCATTAGACCACACCCCTTCTCATTACAGAGATGCACATCACCTAATATGCTTAATTGGTAGTAGGCTTTCGAGCCTATACAGCTTGGAGTAAGACAACATGCATAAAGAGGATGATGTGGTCAAAATACTAATTTGCCTAATAATTCTGCACTCCCTGTATTATTGTGCTGTGGAGCTCTGTTATACACTCAGACACATTACTGGGAGTATTATTGCTGGGAGCTCTGTTATACACTCAGACACATTACTGGGGTATTATTGCTGTGGAGCTCTGTTATACACTCAGACACATTACTGGGAGTATTATTGCTGTGGAGCTCTGTTATACACTCAGACACATTACTGGGAGTATTATTGCTGTGGAGCTCTGTTATACACTCAGACACATTACTGGGAGTATTATTGCTGTGGAGCTCTGTTATACACTCAGACACATTACTGGGAGTATTATTGCTGTGGATATACTCTCAGACACATTACTGGGAGTATTATTAATGTGGAGCTCTGTTATACACTCAGACACATTACTGGGAGTATTATTGCTGTGGAGCTCTGTTATACACTCAGACACATTACTGGGAGTATTATTACTGTGGAGCTCTGTTAAACACTCAGACACATTACTGGGAGTATTATTGCTGTGGAGCTCTGTTATACACTCAGACACATTACTGGGAGTATTATTACTGTGGAGCTCTGTTATACACTCAGACACATTACTGGAGTATTATTGCTGTGAGCTCTGTTATACACTCAGACACATTACTGGGAGTATTATTGCTGTGGAGCTCTGTTACACACTCAGACACATTACTGGGAGTATTATTACTGTGGAGCTCTGTTATACACTCAGACAAATTACTGGGAGTATTATTGCTGTGGAGCTCTGTTATACACTCAGACACATTACTGGGAGTATTATTGCCGTGAAGCTCTGTTATACACTCAGACACATTACTGGGAGTATTATTGCTGCGGGGCTATGTTATACACTCAGACACATTACTGGGAGTATTATTGCTGTGGAGCTCTGTTACACACTCAGACACATTACTGGGAGTATTATTGATGTGGATCTCTGTTACACACTCAGACACATTACTGGGAGTATTATTGATGTGGAGCTCTGTTACACACTCAGACACATTACTGGGAGTATTATTGCCGTGGAGCTCTGTTATACAGACTCATTACTGGGAGTATTTTTGCTGTAAAGCTCTGTTATACACTCAGACACATTACTGGGAGTATTACTGCTGTGGAGCTCTGTTATGCAGACACATTACTGGGAGTATTAATGCTGCAAAGCTTTGTTATACACTCAGACATTACTGGGAGTATTACTGCTGTGGAGCTCTGTTATACACTCAGACACATTACTGGGAGTATTATTGCTGTGGAGCTCTGTTATACACTCAGACACATTACTGGGAGTATTATTGCTGCAGGGCTCCGTTATACACTCAGACACATTACTGGGAGTATTATTGCTGTGGAGTCTCTCTTATACATTCAGACACATTACTGGGAGTATTATTGCTGTGGTCTATTTATACACTCAGACACACACATTACTGGGAGTATTATTGCTGTAGACTCTGTGTTAAACACTCAGACACATTACTGGGAGTATTATTGCTGTGGAGCTCTGTTATACACTCAGACACATTACTGGAATTATTATTGCTGTGGAGCTCTGTTATACACTCAGACACATTACTGGGAGTATTATAGCTGTGTAGCTCTGGTATACACTCAGACACATTACTGAGAGTATTATTGATGTGGAGTTCTCTTTTAACACATTACTGGGAGTATTATTGTTGTGGAGCTCTGTTATACACTCAGACACATTACTGGAATTATTATTTGGGAGTATTATTAAGTTGTGGGAGCTCTGTTACTGGGAGTATATTGCCGTGAGCCTTTTAAACACTCTGTAGACACATACATTGGGAGTATTATTATGGAGTCGTTATACACCTCAGACACATTACTGGGAGTATTATTGCCATGGAGCTCTGTTATACACTCAGACACATTACTGGGAGTATTATTGCCGTGGAGCTCTGTTATACCCTCAGACACATTACTGGGAGTATTATTGCCGTGGAGCTCTGTTATACACTCAGACACATTACTGGGAGTATTATTGCCGTGGAGCTCTGTTATACACTCTGACACATTACTCAGAGTATTATTGCTAGGAGCTCTGTTATACACTCAGACACATTACTGGGAGTGTTATTGCTGTGGAGCTCTGTTATACACTCAGGCACATTACTGGGAGTATTATTGCTGTGGAGCTCTGTTATACACTCAGACACATTACTGGGAGTATTATTGCTGTGGAGCTCTGCTATACACTCAGACACATTACTGGGAGTATTATTGCTGTGGAGCTCTGTTATACACTCAGACACATTACTGGGAGTATTATTGCTGTGGAGCTCTGTTATACACTCAGACACATTACTGGGAGTATTA